CTAGGGGTTACAGTGGACGAGAAGTTGGATATGAGTCAACAGTGTGCCCTTGTTGCCAAGAAGGCTAACGGCATTTTGGGCTGCATAAGTAGGGGCATTGCCAGCAGATAGAGGGACGTGATCATTTCCGTCTATTCAACATTGGTGAGGCCTCATCTGGAGTACTGTGTCCAGTTTTGGGCCCCACACTACAAGAAGGATGTGGAAAAATTGGAAAGAGTCCAGCAGAGGGCAACAAAAATGATTAGGGGGCTGGAACACATGACTTATGAGGAGAGGCTGAGGGAACTGGGATTGTTTCGTCTGCAGAAGAGAAGAATGAGGGGGGATTTGATAACTGCTTTACTGCTTTCAACTACTTGAAAGGGGGTTCCAAAGAGGATGGATCTAGACTGTTCTCAGTGGTACCAGATGACAGAACAAGGAGTAATGGTCTCAAGTTGCAGTGGGGGAGGTTTAGGTTGGATATTAGGAAATACTTTTTCACTAGGAGGGTGGTGAAGCACTGGAATGGGTTACCTAGGGAGGTGGTGGAATCTCCTTCCTTAGAGGTTTTTAAGGTCAGGCTTGACAAAGCCCTGGCTGGGATGATTTAGTTGGGGATTGGTCCTGCTTTGAGCAGGGGGTTGGACTGGATGACCTCCTGAGATCCCTTCCAACCGTGATAGCATAGGCGTGCGCATGGGGCGTGCCCTGTGTGCCCAGGCACACCCTATTGCAGGGGTGGGCAAATGGCTCCACTCTGCCGGTGCGGCAAGCTGGGGGGGTCCGCGCTCCCGGGCTGGAATGCTCGGCTGAGCGCAGCAAGCCACCGGCCCCTCCCCCACCTTTCCCCCTCCCCTGGAGCCATGCCGCCGCGCACGCAGCGCTCTAGGGGCAGGGCTGCGCACTCCTGCGGGGCAGTGTTTGGCTCTGCGAGGAGGCTAGGAGCCTCATCTCATGGTAAGGGGTACAGGGCCGGGGGGTTGGATAAGGGGTGGGGGCAGTCAGGGGACAGGGTGGGTTGGATGGGGGTGGGATCCCAGGGGGTGGTGGTTAGGGGCGGGGGGTCTCTGGAGGGGGCAGTCAGGGAGCAGGGGGGATTGGATGGGGCATGGGAGTCCTGGGGTCTCTCAGGGGGCAGGGGGTGGATAGGGGTCAGGGGACAGGGAGCAAGGAGGGTCCTGGGGGGGCAGTTAGTGGGGGGGGTCTCTGGAGGGAGTGGTCAGGGGACAAGGAGCTGGGGGGGGTGGGATGAGTCAGGAATTCTGGGAGGGGCTGTCAGGAGGCAGGAGTGTGGAGAGGGGTTGGGGAGGCAGGGAGCAGAGGGGTTGTATGGGTTGGGAGTTCTGGGGGTCCTGTCAGGGGGTGGGGAGTGTTTGGATAGGCGTGGAAGTCCTGGGGGTATGTCTGGGGGCGGGGGTGTGGATAATTGTCGGGGCAGTCAGGGGACAGGTAGGGGGTAGGGTCCTGGGGGGCAGTCAGGGGACAAGGAACAGGGAGGCTTAGGTAGGGGGTGGGATCCTGGGGGGCAGTTAGGGGCAGGGGTCCCAGGAGGGGGTAGTCAGGGGACAAGGAGCAGGGGGGTTGGGGGTTCTGAGGGGGGAAGTCGGGGACGGGAAGTAGGAGGGAGTGGATGGGGGCGGGTGGGGGCGGAACTAGGGCAGGGTGGGGCTCCCTGGGTGCACACCCTAATGAAATGGGCTGCGCACGCCTATGCCTGATAGTCTATGATTCTATGGGGAGGGCCGGAATTTCCTCTTCCCCTGCAGGGGCCGCTCCCGGGGCCAGTCAGACCCACCTCTGGGAACCTCCTCCTGGCTACAGGAAGCTCTGTGGCTGCACTGCCTTCAAAGCTGGGCTCCCAGCCAGCAGCCGTGGAGCTTCCTGCAGCCAGGAAAGTTCCTGGAGGTGATCTGACCCCCCGGGAGCAACCCTGGCAGGGGAAGAGGAAGTCCCATCCCTCCCCAGCCTGTCTGGAACTAGCAGCTGGAGCTCGGTGCATGGTAGAATCCCCCCTCCCCTACAATAGCCAGATTTCGTGGGGGAGATCAGATTTCATGGTCCATGAGGCATTTTTCATGACATGAATTTGGTAGGGCCCTAATTATGATGCAGCACTTAAATACTATAGTGCTACAGAAAACTCTCTAACAGTAAAATAGATGATCACTTCTCAGTCAGGCTCAACTATGACACTCATCATTTGGTCCCATTTCCCTCACTACTATTTGTCTTCTCTATTTAGACTGACTTCAGTAAAGGGAAGTGTCTTCCTGTACGACTGTACGGCACCTAACATAATGGAGCTCCTTCCTGACTGGGCCTGTAGATGCTACCACAATACAAAATATTTAATAACCACCGTAAGTGTTTGTCTGTCTTTTTGATACAAAAGTCTTTCACTGCTTAGACACCATGGTGATGGTGATGCAACAAAAGTCATAAACGCAAAGAGAAAAAAAATCACCTTGAAATCAGTCAAGATTAAATTAACACAAACTATCAAATTGTTTAATTCCATTCTAGATTTCCCCTGCCTTCTAACATTTGAAGTGTGCATCTCTAAGTTGTCCTTGTCAATGGCAGAAGTTGTCCTTGTAAATTAAACTGATATTTTCCTCAGGGATAAATCTGAACTTCTCAGTTCCTCTGGGTTTGAAAAGCAGCTCACTAAACTTTTGCTGCCCACTGGTGTTTCTGTTCTGTTGCTCTGCACAGGATGGGAAATACACCGACGATGCTGGCCCTGATCCTGCTTCCACTTGTCAATTAGAATATGGGGTGCTGTGGAAAAGCAGGACCACACCCACTGTACTCGGAAATCATTTGGAATCATTGATAGCTTCAAAATTTTTAGCATTTTTTTTCTAATTAACTGTTTGAAATAAAATATTGTAACAAATACCTAGTGATATTTAATACAATCCATGAAGATTTAGATATGGTACATGAGCTAATACATTTTTGTCTCTAGTTTCCAGGATTTAGATAAAGAAAGTGAAGAAGTAATTTTGAGGAGGCTGATAATAAGCAAATTGGACAATGTTAGCTACCACAGTGATAGGCACATTAGAAATGACTAAAATAGAGACAAGGGCTCTAATCCTTCAGTCACATTCATGTGGGTGGACCCCTGTGTCTGTGCAAAGTCCTCCACAGATCAAATTGCAGGATCAGGTTTATAGTGATAGATCAGATAGGTCCAGAAATGTTGAACTCTTAAAAAACACTCTCACAAGAGCTTTGGGGAAATCCAGATCCAGATATTGATCCAAACTCTGAAGGTCATATCCATTGCTAAAACAAACCAGATAATCCCTCCTTCTGTGGCAGCAATAGGGGTTTATGTGACAGCCAAAAAACAACAGTCGGGGGTGGGGTGTGGGGTGTGGGGTGGTGTATTTGAATAGTACAATAATAGAAGGAAAATAAACGTGTTATACTATGAATAGCAATTTTCCACAGCACATTACCTAGCTAATTTGAATAGTTTGGCAAGTTTTCAGAATGCTGTCATAGAAAACTACTTTACTTGCAGTACAATTTTCCTTTGTCATTATGTATTTTATTTTATTTTATGATTTTTGTTTAAAGAAAGCATAGGGCCACTGAAGAAACTTAGACTTCATTTAGATTTTGATTTAGGCCCAAATTTTCAAAAGTGACTGATGATTTTAGGGTACATTCATTTTGGAGGCCCCCAATCTGAGACACTCTAAAAGGACCAGATCATCAGAGGGCAAATGCTCAGCCCTTTATGCAAATCAAGGCCCTTTAAGCTGTTTCAAGCTGGGCACCCAAAAATTAAGGCATTGAAAATGATTAGTCATTTTTGGAAATGTAGGCCTCTGTAAAACCCGGCAGCTGTACAAAGCCAACAGAAATGTTCCTGTGATTTCTTTTACAATTCTAACGGAAACAATTGTTTTTAACCAGCTCTCCCTCTGCCATGGTGCCACAGCTGCAACCAGCAAGGTGCTTAAACTGGAGCCCCCTTGGTATAAATAAGAGGGGGCTGCTGGCCTGGCTTTCTTCATGAAGATGCCCTTCCCTTTAGAACTCACTCCCTGACTCCACATGATCCAAAACAGCTTGAATGCTCATCTTTTAACCCAGGCATCTGAAGAAGGGATACATGCTCTTTTGTTTATTAATTTAGAGTTATAAAACATAATGTTCTCCTTGAACTCTTCTTAACCCAAATACGGTAACACTGAGAAGCTGAAAGTGAAACTAACTTCAGTGATTTTAAAGGTCTGACCTGAAAAGTCAAAGGGCCTGATCCAAAGCCCACTGAAGTCAATGGGCTCATGATTTCAGTGGTGTTTGTCTCAGGCCCAAAGGGATAGATTTACGGCACCTATGTGCCTCTTTAGGTGCCTAAATACATGTGTAAATCTGGCCCAAAGAGCATAATTAGTAAGAAGTACTCTGGATTTTTTAAAAATATTTTAGCTATAAAGAATCTAAGGTTTTATTGGTAACACTAGTAAAGAAATGTGTTTGTTTACAACATTAATTTTTAAGTTGACAGTGTTGCCATAGCTGTCTGAAGGTTATTTCTAAAGATCATCTCTTTCCCAGTTATCTACAGAAATAACCTAGGAAATGTAACACTTCTGCACATCAGTGACCTTAGATATCAAGTGGTGTACTGTTACTGTTGGTGATTGTATTACATGAGGTTTTCGGTCACTATATTTGTTTTCTTTTTTTTAAAATGTAAAAATAATAAAGATTTTTTAAAATGATCCTTGTACCCTTAAACATTGAACAGCAATGACTCTGTTTTGGAAGACAGATGGTTTTACTTTACTACCAGGGAGAACATAAGACTGTTCACTTCATGCTTTGCTATGATGAAACCTCCTGCACTCATTGCCTGATTAATGAGACTTGGACACAACCGATCTTCTTTTAACAACAGTGGGTTTCAGATGTTTGTCTATTAACAAGAGCTGCAAATTCGACAAGTTTAAATCTTCCCTCAAAAGAGTGCTCCGGCGGTTTATAAATACCTGGTGAATGGAGCTTGGTGGCTGATACCGCTAATCTCTTAGGGGATGACACTGTGGGTTTATTTGCATCTTGATCTTTTTGTACTTCTTTCTTCAAACCTGCTTTAAAAAAGAAACCCAATCTTTACTTGATTTGCCATCACACAGAAGCATGCCTCTAAAAAGTGTAACAGCATGGCAAAACACAAATATTTTTTCAATATTACTTTGGGGCCAGATATTGAAAGCTTTGCATATGCCTTTGCATGCATGAAGATATCAGGATGCTGTGTGCCAACTGGGTATTTCAGTGAGCACATGGCCAGTTAGACACTTAACTGACCGTGCGCCTCTGCAAATATGGAACTCTGCACATGCAAATAGGGGTGAAATTCACCACACTAATGAGGGCCAGCACAAGGTCATGCACACTATGCAGATCCTCTGGCCTTCTGCACGCGGTGTACATCACTCATGCACACATACATCCTTAAAAAATCTGGCACCTGATGTCTATTCTGGTTTACAGCACCATGTTATTTGTGAGATGCTTTTACCTATTCTTACCAACAGGCATTTACTTTCTGAGTCCTGACAGGGTGAGCACACGGTTGTCTCACTCATCTAGCTGGGCACCTTGGTGCACAGTGGCGCTCTCTCCTGAAAGCTCAAGGCCATCTCTAAACTAAAGTTTCCCTTGTTATTGATCAGACTACTGGGAAAAAATTTCAAATACAAACACAGGTTTGAAATAAAGAGCCTCCGATCAGAGTATGAATTGGGCCCTGCTATGGAATGCACTGTTATGCCATGTGAACTGCACAAAATGAGCTCCAAAGCGGAGCTAAGAGCAAAGCCAGTATCATGATCAGTGGAACTGGAATCAGAGAGCTCATGTTCCCTGGAGGGACTGTTATTGAGGGGAACCAGTGGAACTGGGAACACGGGGCAGTTAGGATGGAAGCAACTCAGCCATAGGTACACAGAGCCCCCAGGGTTTAATAAAGTTTCACGTGTTCAATTTAAACTGCATTCAGCGTCACGCTTTGTGAGTGAAACATGGCGGCAGCATCTGAGCTGTGAGTTCTCTGCAGTGCAGCAGCTGGCAGCGTGAGCCATGGAACTGTGTCTGAAGGCGCCCGGAGCCCTGGATTTGGAAGACACAAACCTAGCCCAGGGATGGACCCAGTGGATGGAGGAGTTTGAGCGGTACACGGATCTGGCCATGCAGGAGGACACCAGCACAGAAGTAAAACTGTTACCTTACCTTACTGGGTACCAAGGCAGAAAAATCTGCAGCTCGCCACTGCCTCAAGCATCACAGAACTCCTTGGAGCCCTGGGGAATGAGTACTCCCCAAAGTAGAACAAAACCGTGGAGCGGCACAGGTTTTTCACTGGCGACCAATATAAAGTGGAGGGGATAGACCCCTATGCTGCAGCCTTACACACACTAGCTGCTACATGCAATTTTGGGGACTTGACAGACTCCTTGATTTGGGACAGGACAGTCTGTGGCGCTTGGGATCACCATGTGCAGTAGCAGCTGCTCCAGGAAGACAATCTCACATTAGGTGCTAAGCCATGGGGCATGCAATGGATGCCTTGAGAGAAAGGATGAAAGCATGAGGAGGCACAACATCCCCAGAAGTACAGGCAGTGAGATCTGCATGTACTATGGGAGACAACATGAGCAGGTAAAGGAGAAGTGCCCCGCACTAGGACAGCATTGCAAGGAATGTGGCAATTTGAACCACTTTAGTAGTTTGTGCATGAGCAGAGGAAAGTCCCAGAAAGATTCAGTCAGATCTGTACCAGAGGGGGATGGCATGTCAGATGTCAGCTTTATTCTCCTTGAGTCCAAGAGCATATCAGATTCAGGCTGTCATGACAGGAAAGCAACAAGAGACAATACCAACCTCCATGCATGCAACAATGTTAACAGGAAAACGCCCTATGCGATTTCAGCTGGATAGTAGGGCCTCCTGCAATGTGATTCCTCAGGGTGAATTGGCTCAAACACTCCTATTACATGAGCTGGTGCACTCAAATAACGTACAATGAGAGCATAATGCAGCGCACAGGAAATTATGATCTCCTAGTAACTAACCCCAAAAAACACAGACCACACCAACTGCAATTTGTGGTGGTGGATGGTAAGCACTACAGACTCCTCTTACAGCCATACAAGACATGGATCTGATATGGCTGCAGCATCAGAATTGTATAGCTGCAGTGCAAGAAGCAAAAGGGGAAGTCCACTATCCACAGCCCACAATTGACGACATCTTACCAGAACTTTCCAAAGCCAGAATTTTTATGGTCTGTGATGTGAGGGAATGGGTTTTGGTACATAAGCCTGGATTAAGAGTCCACCATGCTTATAACCTTTGCAACACCATTTGGTCGCTACAGATGGCTGCAAATGCTGCTGGGCATATGCCCAATACCAGAGGTGTACCAGAGAAGACTCGCCCAAAGATTGGCTGGGGTGAAAGTAATTGCAAATGATATCCTCATTACAGGTGAAGGGAGCAATGATACAGAAGCTGAACGAGACCATGACAGAAAACTACAAGGTTTTCTACAGCGATGTAGGGACAAGAACATAAAACTCAACCTAGAAAAAAAAGAACGCAACTGAAACAGTATCCAGTGACACACACTGGACATCTGCTCACAGCAGAGGGACTGAAAGCAGATCCCAATAAGATCAAGGCAGTCAGAGACATGCCAACTCCAGCAGACGTGAAAGGGATACAGTGCTTCATAGGAACGATAAATGTTATGTCCAAGTTCTGTCCACAATTGGCTGCAGCAACAGAACCCATATGTCAGCTCACAAGGCAGGATGTTGAGTAGGACTGGACAGGTCCCCAACAGCAAGCATTTGACACGTTGAAATAAATGAATACAGATGCCCCTGTCTTGTAATACTACCAGTCAGGAGAGCCACGGACACTCCTGTGTGGTACATCAGAGAAAAGGCTGGATGTAGTGCTTTTTCCGCAAACAGCCATGTCATAAATCTATCCATGGCAAAGCACCCCCTTCATGAGATACGGGGGAGCACACGTGTGCAGGTCCAGTTGCCCCCATCCCGGTGGACACTGCAGAGTGTATGAGTCTAGTGAGGTCACTGCTCAACCCTCTGGCTGAGACCTTCTCAGTGTTTTTTCCCCTCTCAGTTTCCCCCAGTCAGCAAACGAGGTTAAATAAAAGCATAAAGGAAAAGAAAGAAAACCTGTAGGCAGCTTCATCTTGAGGTTTGGTGGCCTGCAATGTGCAGGAGGTCAGACTAGATGATCACGATGGTCCCTTCTGAGCTTAAAGTCTATGAGGATATTGGCCTCTCTTACTTCAGACAGTGCTGGCGGTATCCCAGTCCATCCCAGAGTCCTCTGGGTCTCTAGTACACAGGGCCGGCTCCAGGCACCAGCCCACCAAGCTTGTGCTTGGGGCGGCACCTGAAGGGGAGCGGCACGGCGCTCCAGCCGCCGGGGAGAGTGGGGCCACGGCTGGGCTCGCCGCCCTCCCCCCAGCACTGTGGCTGCCCTCCCCCCCCCGCCCCCCCCCCCCCGGGCGCCGGGGGGTGTTTTGCCTGGGGCGGCAAAAAAGCCAGAGCCGGCCCTGCTAGTACAAATCTCAGTCTCTTTCCCCTTCTTAGCCCAGGGGATCTGTGTTCTCCTTTTGGCTGTCAGCCCTCTCCTTGGGAGCTGGGGAGCTCAACTGCCTGTTCCCTTCCCAGGCTTGTGCAGGGTTTGTTCCCTTCCCAGGCTGGTGCAGGGTTTGTTTAATTCATCACAAGCCGGTCGCATATGCCAATAGAGCCTTGTCAGAAACTGAACAGGGGTACACTTAAATGGAAAAAGAGCTTCTGGGTTTTTGGAGTGGAGTGATTCTATCAGTACACCTGTGGTCACTCAATAACAGTGCTGCAATAAGACCACAACCCCCTAGAGACAGTCATGGCAAAGCCTCTTCTTACGACTCCAAAGAGATTGCAGCACGTGTTGATGCATCTCCAGCACTACCAGTTAGAGAATAGATATTATCCAGGATGATTACTGGTGTTAGCTGACACCCTTAGCAGGACATATATACCCAGCATCAGCCAGTTGGGGGAAAGGGATAAGGATACAGTCCAGCATATTAATAGATTCAATCTCCCAGTTTCAACAGCAAAGCTGATGGAAATCAAAGAGGCTACGGCCATCCAACTAAGTCAGTCAAGCCAGTGATACCAGCAGAGAGGCCAGAAGGCAAAAGCCACTACAAGAAGGAGCTGAGTGTGCAGGATGGAATCATATTTAGAGGACAGAGAGCTGTTGTTCCTGACTCATTACATAAGGATGTCATGCAAAAAATACCTGCCTCACAGCTGGGCATTGGCAGGTTCTTAGATGGGCTCAAGTTAGTGTTTACTGGCCTGGAATGAATACACAATTCCACTCCTTGATAGAAGAGTATGACATCTGCCAGCCGTGTCATAGGCACCAGCAGAAAGAGACTCTTACCACATGAGCTGCCCACCCAACCATGGCAAAAGATGGGAACAGACTTATTTACCTAACATGAAAAAGCAGTACTTAATTATAGTGGGCTATTATTCAAAGGTTTTGGAGGTCCATGTTCTGCCTGATACAAGAAGCAAGTCAGTGACTGGCAAACTGAAGGCCCACTTTGTGAGTTACGGCATTCCAGACACTGTACTCACTGAAAACGGACCCCAGTTTGCCTCAGAAGAATTCATGGATTTTGCATGCAAATGGGAGTTTGACTACCACGCCTCCTCCACAGCATACTGCAAAGTATTGGTAAAGTGGAATCAGCTGTGAAAACAGCTAAGAGACGGTTAATCAAAGCTGTTTCTTCTGGTTCTGACCCCTTGTTAGCATTCTTGGACCACAGGAATATCCCATTCCAGGGGTGCCAAACCAGTCCAGCACAGGCACAGATGGGACAAAGGGACAGAGGATCAAAGCCCTGCTAACCAATGAAGAGACACCTGTTGCAGTCAGAAGGATGGTGATACCGCTAAGAGGAGATGGCCAACAATCAGAGAAAGTAGGCACTAGAGTATGACGGGTCAGCCAAGGACCTACTGGCCCTTGAGCCAGG